TTTTCAGCTACTTTCATTGAGAGATGGAGGTTTTTTTCCCACCCCTTGACTCCAGCTAGCCTTGTGACTTGCTTTAACCAATATAATGCAGAAGTGATGTTGTGTCAGTTCCAAACCTAGAGGCCTCCTAGCTTCTAGTCTCACTGCCTTGGAACTCTGAAACCAGCATGGGAACAAACCTAGACCAGCCATCTGGAGACCGGAAGACCACATGGAAAGTGGTCCCACCCCAGTCTATTTACCAGATGAATGTAAATGTCTAAGCGAGCCTACCTGAGACTAGCTGGGCCCTGCCTAAACCATGAGAATTACCCAGTTGAGTCCAGCCTGAATTACTGACCTGCATAATTTTGAGCTAAATAAATGGTTGTTTTAAACAACTAAGTGTGGGGACTGGTTGTATTATGAGCAAAAGCAAACTGATACTAGACCATATAGTATTTAGTTCTATAACTTTTTTTTCTTTACTATGTTACAAAGCGTTTGACTTGTCAATGCCTAAAGATCCATCTTATTCTTTTGAAGAGTTACATGAGGGGCGCCTGGGTGGCTCAGTCATTAAGCGTCTGCCTTCGGCTCAGGTCATGATCCCGGGGTCCTCGGATCGAGTCCCGCATCGGGCTCCCTGCTCGGCAGAAGACTGCCTCTCCCTCTCCCACTCCCCCTGCTTGTGTTCCCTCTCTCGCTGTGTCTCTCTCTGTCAAATAAATAAAATGTTAAAAAAAAAAAAAGAGTTAAATGAATTTCCACATTATGGATATTCTACAGTTTAATATTTTCTCTATGCCAGACATTTAGGTTGTGCCTACCTGCCTCCATCCTTCTCTCCGTCTCCTGTATTATAAGTATCTCTATAGTTGCTGTATACTTCCCCTACTCTGTCTTTTCTCTGCTAATATGGGTTATCTTTTTCATAGACATTTTAAAAAATATAATAAAATGTATCAATCTTTCCCTTAGTGGCTTTCCTATTCTAAATTTTGCTCAAGAGCAATTTTCCAACCATATATATACTCTATTTCTTTCTAATACAGAATTTTATGTAAGTGCCTATGTGTATGTGTGGGTGTGTTAGATTTAACTCATCAATCCTCTGAAATTTATTTGAATTTATGGTGTGAAATAGTGAATATTTTTGTCAACTGGATAGCCAAATGTTCTAAACACCATTTAGAGTAGTTCAATCATTTGCACTGATTTGAAATACCACCTCCACTCTGCGTTTAGATTATCTGCTTCAAGACTCTAATCTGTTCCATTGATCTATTTATTTGCTTGTTACCAGATCAGTAACAAAATGACCACTGCAATATAACAATAACTACTGCTTTATAGTACGTTTTGACACTGGCAAAGTATCTTTTCTTTTTTTCAAAAATGTCTTGAATATTCTTCAATATTTTCTCTTTCAAAATAATTTGAGTCAGTTTTAAAAATCCATGAAAAAGTCATTTTGGAATTTTAATAAGGCTTACATTAACTTTGTAGATTAATTTGCCATCAGTTGAACTTTTAACAACCTTGAATTTTGTTGTCAATGATCATGATAATGCCTTTTCACTTATTTCCTATGTCCTTTGGTAAAATTTTATAGTTTTCTTTTTTAATATATTACATGCTTATTCTTTGGTTTAGTTCTCAGAATTACATGGTTTTTTTAAGTTATTTACATTTTCTAACACATTTTAAAATTCATTTTTGCTCATGTTTGAGAAAATTTTCCCTGAAAATAGTTTTCTTTAAATTTGACCATTTTGGTAAATTCATTCATTCTAAGAATTTGCCACTTGATTCCTTTGGATTTTCTGGGTAGATAATCATATAATTTAAAATGATGAGATTTCCTAACTTTTATTTTACCTTTCATTTCATTATTTTACTTTTTTTTTTTCCTGGTCCTGAATTGGCTAAAACCCCCTGTGTGTTCGTATTAGTCAGCTCAGGCTGTCATAACTGAAGAGTAGAGTCTGGGTGACTTAAACAACAAAAATTTATTTTCTCACAGTTTGGAGTCTGGAAGTCCCAGATGAAGGTGCCAGCAAGATGGTTTCTGATGAGACCTCACTCCTCAGCTTGCAGACAGTGCCTTCTCGCTGTGTCCTCTCCAGCCCTTTCTTTGTGTGCGCTCATAGAGGGAGCTCTGGGGTCTCTTTTCCTCTTCTTGGAAAGACACCGATCCTCACAGATTAGGGCCCCATCCTTATGCTTCATTTAACCTTCATTATCTCCTTAAAGGCCAAATCTCCAAACACAGTCACACTGGGGATCAGGGCTTCAACATATTCCATTTCTGGGATATCAATATAATCCCATTTCTGAATTAGCATTAAAAATAATATTTTTAGGGGTGACTGGCCAGCTTAGTGGGTGGTGAGGCATGTGACTCTTGATCTTGGGGTTGTGAGTTTGAGCTCCATGTTGGATGTAGAGATTATTTAGAAATAAAATCTTTTTTAAAAAATGTCTTAAAAAATAATACTTCTATTTTCTATTCTGAATATCTGAGAAATAATGTGTGCAAAATGTGCAAAAGAAACAAAATCAAATTGATACAGAGTTATCACATAGGTTTATTTGAAAAATGTATGTTTGTGCATAGAGCACCTAGTTCATGGTGGAGACAGACCAAATGTTTAAAAAATATTTATTGAATGACAGTAGAACTGCCACAAACCTTTGCTATTATGTGTGTGTTGTGTCTAAAATATCCACAAGTAATTGTGTTTAATACTGCATAGATAGGTGGTTTATGTTCAAAAAACAATCATTCATTTTTTCCTATTCATTTAGTAAAGACTTGGAGTTGGACAGTGGGTGCATTTCAACACAAAGACATCATCTCTTCCTGGTGTTTGAAGACCTTAGGTTATTCTCCTTGAACTAAAGTGGTAAATACTGTAATAAATAGAAATCTCTATTCCTTGCTATCTCAAGGAAGTCAACAAAATATTATGGTGATCCAGTAATCTAATTCCCAGTCCCTTATGAATTAGAATTTTTTGGCAAAATATCACATTTTAAGTAATAAATAAATAGTCTATTCTGAGCAACTCCCACCCAAAATTATTCTTAAAACTTTCATTCATTGAAAAAAAATGACATAAGATGACTTAGGTAAAGGATTTACATGTTTTAAGCACGTTGTAAACTTTTATTTTTTTTATAGATTTTATTTATTTATTTGACAGAGAGAGACAAAGCGAGAGAAGGGAACACAAGCAGGGGGAGTGGGAGAGGGAGAAGCAGGCTTCCCGCTGAGCAGGGAGCCCGATGCAGGGCTCGATCCCAGGACCCTGGGATCATGACCTGAGCTGAAGGCCAACGCTTAACGACTGAGACACGCAGGCGCCCCTAAGCACATTGTAAACTTTCAACAATTGTTAGTTACCTCCTAATCCTTAAAAGAGCAAAAATTAAAGATATGCATGATGATAAAAGGATATTTATTTGATATATGCCTTATATAGGTTACCCTTTCTGCTAGACAGAAGACTTCATTCTTTCTCCTTTCTATTCCATATCTAATCTCAAGGAGGCTCTTTAACGTTTTTTTATTATTGAAGTAGAGTTGACACACAATATTATATTAGTTTCAGGTGTACAACATAGTGATTTGACAACTTTATACCTTACACAATGTTCACCATGGTACCATCTGTCACCATATGACATTATTACAATATTATTCCCTATATTCCTTATGCTATACTTTTCATCCTATGACTTACTTATTTTGTAACTGGAAGTTTGTGCCTTTTAATTCCCTTTACCTGTTTCTCCCGTTCCTTAACCCTCCCCGCTTCTGGCAACCACCAGTTTGTTCTCTGTATTTATGGTATTTATGAGTCTATCTCTTTCTGGGTTTTGTTGTCGTTGTTGTTGTTTGTTTGTTTTGTTTTATAGATTTCACATATAAGTGAAATTATATAGTCTTTGTCTTTGTCTGACTTATTTCACTTAGCATAATATCCTATTGTTAAAATGTCCATACCATGCAAAGCGATCTACAGATTGAATGAATTCCCTATCAAGGAGGGTCTTTTTACAAAAAAATGAACACATTGACTAAAAATCCCACACTTTTACAGACATGACTGGGCTCAGATACCCTTAAGTATCCAAATCCCTGCTCTGCATCCATTATGGCTTGGTGACCTTGGCAAGTTCCTTATTCTCTCTCATCCTCAATTTTCCCATTCATAAAATTAGGATAATAATTTAGGAATAATAATAAGTTAGGAATAATAATACATTCCTTATGGATTTTCTGTGAGAAGTACATGAATTAGCTTATGTGAAATCCCAAATAGCTCAGTAGATGAAATATTATTATTAATAAACACTCATATTTTCTTGCATACTGATTTAATTTGAAATATTTAACTTGTTCATGGAAATGAGTGTGGAGAAACCTTAAGGAGTCTAATTTCCAACCATGATTTTAAAAAAATCTACTTGAACTTTTGAGTTTCTTGTAATATTATATCTAGGACTCCAAATTTTGTTCTCAGATGCACCAAAGACTATAAAACGTCCTTTGTTAATGGTGGAAAATAAACAGCTTCTTAGGAAATAAGACTTCGTCATGCAAGAGTATATAGATTTATGTCCAGTTCTTTGATTAGAAAAAGAGAAAAAGCCTTTCCAGAGTCAGAAATGTTTCTCAAACCACTATAGAATAACAATTATGAGTCTCCACTTTTTATTTTTATTGCTGGATTGAAAAAGATGACTCTCTACAATGCCTACACCAGGAGGATATTATTCTACAAATAAGGGCCCAGCGTGACATTTATGAGAAAGCCAGGGTCCTTCTGCGCAAAACTGATTGGTGCTCAGCCAATGGGCTCTGGGGCATTGCAAATAAAGGTACGTTCTCCACTGGGCCTGATCAGAAGCAGGGCGGAGTGTTGCCTCTGCCTGTGGAACTTCAGGAAATGCTCAACTTCTGTCCTAGCAGACTGCATCTGTGGCCAGCAAAGAGAAACTGGGCTTTGAAGATGAAACACCTTGTTCCTCAATTCCCTTCCGTCTTGGCCATCTATTGCTTCTGCATCCTACAGATTCCCTCTTCAGGTAAGGGGACCCCTTCATCAGACCCCCAGCTAGCCTGAGCTCTAAGGAAGACTGAGACAGACCTTGATCCTTCAGGGTAGTTCTGGAGGGAGTCAAACTTAATCCCTTCACCTACCCCCATTTCCACCCTTTTGAAATGGCTTACCATTTGTCTCTAACATTTAAGAGAAGGTGGACAGAATTAGATGCTGCAGCCTTTTACCAAAGGAGGCGACTTTCCTTTGTGGTACTCTCTTTAAACATTTCCTGACTCAGGGCTGTCCCAAAGATGTGCTGCTAAAACTGTGAGGGATATGAGTTGAGGACCCCAGTGTCTTAGCCGTCTGTACTCCGGGAATTCTGAAGAGAAGAGAACAGAGACGGTGAAACTGAGTTTACAGACCCAAAGACTGGGGATTGAGAGACGGTTGGAAAGGGGCGGGGAGGGAGCAGAAACAGGAAGAAGGGAATATTTTCAGAGCCTTTCTGTGGGGTCGCAGGAGGCAGGATCCGAGACAGACCTGCGGGGGCCCCGAGTCTTCCTGGGCTTGGGCGCTGTCCGAGGTGCTGACTGGACGCGGGTGTCTCTTCACTAACTTCTAAGAACCCGCAGGATTGCAGGGAACCAGGGGTGGGGTATAGGGTCAGTAGTCAGAATGCGTTACCCATTTCAAGGTAGTTGCCAAATGATGCAGGGAAGCATGTGGTGGTAGCTCCAATTGGAAGCAGGGACTATTTCAAAATTTCAGATTTTGCCGTTAGAATTTTGATCTCGGGGTGTAGAAAATCTTTGAAAATATATTCAAACAGAAAATATATTTCAAATAGTGTGTTTGTTTTGCTATGTCCTGTAGTGTAATCACAAAACCTAGGCATTGCAAGGAACCTTGAAAGTCATCTAACCTTTCATGGAGAGCAGGGATCTATGATTTCCCTATTTGATTACTTTCAGTGACACCCAACTCAATACCAGCCTAAGAGAGCCAGTAGCTGCCTCTTCTGGGCTCCAACAGCATCTGTTTGTGTTACACTTTTGGGACTTTGTTATTACTTTTTATCTGTCTATATATTTATATCCACCTCCCCCTTTTCCTCTTTGATTTTATGTTTCCTGAGGGTAGGTCCCTATGGTCTTTATCATTGTACTGTTAACACAGAACCTCTTAATAAATCCTTATAGGATTGGTTCAAATTACTTTGCATTTTTGAATGGCTCCAATCATCAAAATTTTTCTTTACACTAAACTGAAATCTGATCACATGTAACTTCTAACCGTAACGAGCCCTACTTCTATCCTTTGGGAATACAGAATAGGACTAATATCTCTTATGACAGTTCTCAAAATAATTGAAGGCAGTTAGCATACACTTCCTAATTTTCCTCTTTGCCAAAGAAAACTATTCTTAGTACCTCTAACTCAACTACATATTCTATTATTTCAAGTAGGATTATTACCTTTCAAGGCTTGGACACTATTATTTCTGTACAGGACAAGATTGCCTTAGCTTTTTCTTGGCTCATAGAGAGATTACAGGAAGCAAAATATCAGTATTTTAAATATATATATATACTATTCTTGAGCCAAATATTCCCTGTCCGACATTTAAAAAATCTAAGTTCAGGGTTTTACATTCATCCCATTTAATTTCATCTATCCAATTGGTTCCTTCAATTACTGTATTAGCTATTCTCCCAAGTATTGTATCACGCCCAAATGAGATGAAGACTTCATTTAGGCCAGCTAAAGATTGACTGGCATAGGGTGCCACCACATGCTTGGTGGCAACAACCTTGCCCAGAACCCACCCTTGAAGAGTCTGATGAGGCACAGAGATGAGTATCTGAATTTCTTAAAATTTCCAAGAGTGATTTTGATGCACATACTTTCTTGACACCATTTCCTGATATCCTATCTTCATAAATTCCATCAAAATACAAATTGAGTTGTTACCCAGGTATCTTTTCCCTCTTTCTTGAGTTACTAACTCTTATACTGCTAACTCCTTGTAAATAAAAAAACACTGTTTTTAACTAATTTTGGTACAAATCTCAACTTACTGTTGGTAGGTAGAAGTGTGTTTTCTTTGTAAATCCTTTTAAAAATATTGTATTTCTAGAATCTCTGTATGTTTTTCATGGTAACAATTTAAAAGTTAGTGCTATGACCTTCCCCCCAATTATTATTTTTATGGTTTCTTTCACAGTAGGATTTCCTCGACCTCTAGCTGATCCCCCAGATGGCTTGGATGTCATGCAGCTTGAGGTACACTGCTGTTCAGTAATGTGAGATTTTTACTTAGTCTTGGCCTTGAAAATATCATGTGGATAATGTTCACTTGAAACTATTTTAAGATCAGATTCTTGGCTGCTGCAGGAATTCATGTTGCCATTTTCATGGCCTCATTTAAGGCATCCTGAGAGTTGTGTTGAAATTCACTGCCACTGTGTGAGAAGATAATGCAAGGTTCATAAATGGGACAATTTTAGAATTTTATATGTGTGTTAATAGATTGCTATTGACTAAGGAATTTATTCTGATCTTTGATTCATTTTTCATATTTTTCTTTAGCGTCTGGCATATTGGGCAACTCTTTCTAGGCAACCTAAGGTAAAAAAAAGTATATATATAATAATTCTTTTATTTTTATCTTTATTTTTTTCAAGATTTATTTATTTATTTGAGAGAGAGAGAGAGTCAGCGCACCTGTGCGTGGGGGGAGGCGCAGAGGGAGAGAATCTCAAGCAGACTCCCCATTGAGCCTGGAGCCTGACTGCAGGGCTCCATCTCACAACCCTGAGATCATGACCTGAGCTGAAATTAAGAGTCAGGCACTTAACTGACTGAACCACCCAGGCACCCCCGTATAATAATTCTTTTAGTTATAAGTGCACATGTTTATACCATAATGGATATCTGTAATAAGCTACCTACAGGAGAAGTGTATGTGAACATCTAAGTCCGTGGGTAAGAATGTAGTTTTAGGAAATAACAGGTGAACCTCTCAAATATAAAATACCACAAAATATTGGTAATTCATGTATATTCTTAGAATTATCATAATAATGTATACATGTATAATTACATTAATTATGTATGTTATGATATATCATGACATACATTACAATTGATATACTATAATATAATAGTTCTTCAAAACAATAGAGCTCGTGTAAAGGACCTAACACTGATAGTAACCACAACAGAAATGTTTCAGTGGATACAAAGTAAATGCTGATTCAGTCAAGAGTGCAAGAGGGTGGTATTAGGGTGGAGTCCGTGATTCTTAAGCATAAACTGAATGTTTTCATGTTTAACATGTTTTCATCTTGAGCTATATCTTTTCTTCCTCCTTCCCCTCTCCCAAGCCACAGCATACTGCATCCTGGCTACATTGAACTTCTCATTATTCCCCAAATGCATCAGGCCCTTATATCTTTGCACAGGTGTTTCCTTAGCCAAAAGTGCCTTTGCAGGCTGTGTTAACAGCTCAGACTCTAAAACCAAAGTACCTGGGTTCAAAAACTAGATCTCCTTAACTTGGGCAAATCTCTTAATCTCTCTGTGTCTTGGTTTCCCCATCTATAATACAGAAATGATAGTTATACTAGCCTCATAATGTTATTGTGAGGATTGAGTGCTTGAATCTTTGTGAAGTGTTTTCAACGGTGTCTACAACACAGTAAATGACAGCACTTAAGTACCATCTGCTACCATTGCCCCTGATGCAACTAATGGCCATTCCTCAAGACTCAAACATTACTTTCTCTTTTTTTTTAATTTTTTTTAAAGATTTTATTTATTTATTTGAGAGAGAGTGAGAGAGCACAATCAGGGGGAACAGCAGAGGGAAAGGAAGAAGCAGGCTGCCCGCTGAGCAGGGAGCCCAATGCGGTGCTCTATCCCAGGACCCTGCGACCATGACCTGAGCCAAAGGCAGATGCTTAATGGACTGAGCCACCCAGGCGCCCTTACTTTCTATCTTAAACTTCACAAATATATCATGCCTATTTCTCCTTATTTTCAGTTTATCCTTATGCACATGTCTGAAGACAATTGTTCTCCCTTATTTTTAGAACTAATCTTTACAGCCTTGCTACCCAGAGCAAAAATTCAGGGTGAAAATTCAAAGTTTTCCATCTCCTTGCCACTGCCTCTTCACTTCGCACAGAATGGGCTTCCCCGTACCCCACATGAAGGCTGTGAGGGTGTCCCCTGCAGGGGCAGAAGTGGAGTGGAGCTGTCACATGGGCCACCTACAGTAGTTAATTGGGTTGTGGGTTTCCCCGAGAGCAAGGGCCCACCTGGAATGAATTTCTGTCCACTTTCTCCATTTTCCCAAAGCTGATCCTCTTCACCATTTCCAGTCATAGAAGAGCAAAGGGTTGTTCAGTGAACAAAACTATCAATATTTTAAATCCATTAACAGAGACACTGTGGCTCTTCCTGGTCTTGCCGCTGCATTAAAATAGGACCTTTGGCATGTCACTTCCTCTCCTGGGGCTCTGGTTCCCTCAACTATCCCATGTCCAGATGAGCCACCTGGGCTCTAAGTCCACTACCAGTTCTGGTCTCCAGAAAAGCCAGGTCTGTGTCTCCAGGGCACTTTTATCTTTAAGCAATTCAGAAAGCAGAGTTACATTCTACAAATAATGACACCTGCAAAAAGTCTTCCTGTTTTGTGTTCCTGGTGAGAGCAGAAGTTTAGATAGGAAAGGGGGCAATAGATTCTTGTGAACACATTTCTACTATTCATCCATTCAAAAAAAATATAATTATTGAGAGCATGCCATGTGTTAAGTGCTAAAGATGCAGTAGTGATCAAAACAGACAAAACTACCTGCTCTCATGAAACTTAAGTTCTAGTTGGGGAAATAAATAATAAGTTAGATAGGTACGTATATTTTTTTCTGTAAAAAGAAAAAATTGAAGCAAAGAAGGTGCATGTGAAATGTTGAGAGTGGTGTTTGAGCACCTGGAAAAGCATCTTCATATTCCTTGTTATGTTTTGGCTTGAAACATAATAGTATAAAGCTGATGAATACGGTACATAAAATCAATTGTTTGCCCAATGCGTGCCCAGGAAACACACATACACTCACACATACACGACAGGGCAAGTGTGTGTGTGTGTGCGCGTGTGTGTAGTATACATAGCATGGGCTGCTTCCCATTAGAAACTCTTCACAGTTGTTAGGAAGATGTACTTGTATCAACAGCAACAAATTAAAAGTGTTATTAACAACTTTCATTTCTGTCTTGATTGAAGTTTGAGCTGATTCAAAAAGGTTTCAGTGTAATTGAGATTGAATGAGCAATATTAACCAGATCAGCAGATTTAAAATATCATTCACAGTAATCATTTCAAGCAATTTTATAAAATGCAGACATGGAAAACTTATTTATTATTTTGTAAGATGTCTTTTTCACAACAAGATCCTGAAGTGGAATATGCTGCAAATACAACCATCCCCACCTGTCATCCATGTAAACAAGGGCAAGGTGGTGCTCTAACAAGGATTTAGAAATGAAATCTGGGCTTTCTGCAAGAGTGGAGATTCATGTAGAAAGCTTTTTGCGGGGGCGGGAGGGAGAGTTTGGTTGATTTGAACCAACCTCCCAAAAAAGTGAATTCTAGAGTACACCCAGGAAAAAATTAAAAGTTGCAATCATTAATTTTATTCCAACTCTTTGATGGTTATCTGGGAATTAATTAGGGGATTGCTTCTTTGCACCAGAGAGCATGTTTTTCTCCCCAAGATTGGAAAGGTAAAATGAGATTCAGTCTTAAAATAATGATGTATTGCTGGCAACTTGCTTTTTTGTAAGACCCTTCATCAACGATAGTCTTATTAAGTTTGGATTTCTTTTTAGACTGCCAATTTATTTCATAATATTCAGATAAATTCAATAAGGTCCATGGTGTAACTTATACTGAAAATCTCATCAATTGCCTACCCCAGTAAAATTCTATGTAACTTACCCTCACAACTCTCTTTCTAGGATAATCAAGACATATACAAAAGGGTGAGTACCACCCAGTCAGCAATGCAGGCATGTAAATTTCACATTTATACCAAGTGACACTTGTACTAAACTCGACTTTTTTTTTATTCAGTTTTTATTTCACTACTCCAGAACTCAGAAGCTGACACAGCCAGTTAAAAGTGGGGTCAGTATTTTACCATACTCATCTTTCTGTAAAAGTGACTCTCCTCTGCTTGTCTTTTATCCCGTCCTAATTAATATGTGCAGATAAGTAGAAAAGCAGGGAGCCTGCAGACACTGTGTAATAGCTTTCTAAGAGCTTTTTCCTGTGGCTTCAGGGATTCTCTGTCCTGGTCTGGGCTGGGGTGGTGGGAGGCTGACAAATCTGAAAAGTTAGAGACTATATTCTAGAAAAGGAAAAATAAGTGAGGAGTAACTCTTTATTAATGCACTTCAACAGACGTTTGAAAAAGACCTGATAAATACTGAGGTTAATTTACATTTATCATATTACCTTTTTGTTTTTAATTTTAAAAAGTGCTTCGTGAAGTGTAAAGTGCCATATCCCCAATAGTGATCCATGCAGGTGCACCTTCTATAAGCATCACTGTGTATATGTGCTATGGGAATAACATGCATCACCTCTAACTTTGTTATATGAAACCTCAGTTACCCTCAGAAGCAGGTTGTGTAAGTGTATTTCTGCAGAGCATGATTTGAGGAATTTAGGAAGGTCATAGCATAAAATTTTTAATTCAGGGGTTCTGCTATAGTAACTGAAATTCTACCATTAGAAAGTCACTTACTTATATAATCAAGACTTTCCACGTCTTCAAGAAAAATACCTTAAAAAAATACCCAGTGAAGTGTTTTTTCCCTAAGAGGCAAAGACTCATCTGTAGTATAGGTTTAGGAATGAGGATCAGGTGAGGTTAAGGATAGTATCAGGAAGGGCCAAGGGCACTACAAAGGGAAAAAAGACAATGGAAAGAGAAAGATGAACTCTGGGACACGAATGAACCTTTACTCTAAGCCAAAATACTCAGGATTCACAAAGACTAGGTATAAGACACGGGTATGTATGTCTGAGTGTGTGCCCCAGCCACAGACAAGAAATTCAGGAAAATCAAACGCATTAGGGAGAGGGGACTGAAACTCCTGTTCCATGGATGGAAACTCTGTCCTTCCACCTCCTCCACTGGACTAGGAGAGGCACCTAGAGCGAAAAAGGACCATGCACTCCACCCTAAGAAGACAGAACGCCTGGGGATAAGGCAGAGAAAAGTCTGATTTACCCTAAGGGAATAGTTGTTAAGTGAGGTGTTGGAATTGTAACCTGCTATAAAGGCAAGCAGTTCTTTACTGAAAACCTAAGGCGTGGACATGGATTTTATTCTGGACGTTAAACCCATCTAAGCGAGGGAGTGGAGAGGGCAGCGTAGCCTGGGCTGCGTCCCGGCGGTTGTCCGAACCGCGCCCCCCCCCCGCCCCCGCGCCCTCTGTTGCAGATTCCTCCCGTGCACCCGTTAATGCGCCTGGCCGCGCAGCTCGCAGACCGGAGGGTGAAAAGATTTCCGCAACAGCGCGTAGGTGCTTTTCTCTTGGGCCCTCTTTTTATGCCACCCCAAGTTCATTTAACCGTGGTAAATGCGTGTGGTCGCTGGGGGGAGGGGGGAATAGGGGGAAGGGGAGGCTCATTTGCATGCTATGTTTGAATCTCAGCCTCCACCTTGGGAAGGAGAGCTGGCCCTACCTTGCGCCACAGTCCCCTCCCTTGAACCGCACAGCGTGGCTGCAGGGCCCGGGTACGCCCTGAGGGCAAAGCCGTCCCCTTCTGCTCTCTTCCCTATGTTTCCTTTTAGTTTCCGTGCTGTTTTTACACTTTCCCGACGCTTCCTCTTCCTCTTGACATGGACATTGCCTTGGTGATCCCCTGGGCTCCCCGTTGTTGCTCCACCTGCCCTTTTGTCCTATCTCAGAACTTTGTTTCTTTAAACATAGTTCTTTTTTTTGTCTTTTGGGTTTAGAAATTACTAGCTTCAATAATAGGTATAGTTGTTCGAAATGCTAATTGAAGTTTTATTACACGGTAGCCAAAAAAAAAAAAGAGAGAGAGAGAAAGAAAAGAAAGAAAGAAAGAAAAAAAAAGAACATTTTCTTTCGAATGCTGAATTTCATCCCGGTTTGCCCAGGACGTTCCTGGTTTTAGCTCTGAAAATCCCAAGAGCCCCAGGAAGCTGCTCAGTTCCTGGGAAATGGGTTGGTCATCTTAAGCACTGGCAGCAGTGTGTCTTGTCTGATCCCGCTGCTCCCCAAAGCCTTCCAGATTGAGTCTGATCTGTTGTTAGGCCAGACCCACAAGCAAAGACAAGCTGAAGAAGCTGCCAGGGCATACCCTTGGATGGGGGGTCAATTTCAAGTTGATGCAATTGGAAGAGCAAGCCAATTTAACATTGTTCTGGACGCAAATGGTACCTCAATCAAGAACATGCCTATCTTCCGGAACAGGCAATTATAATTGGTTACATAGTTAGCCCTTCCCCTAAACTGCTTTTTTGCCCCCGATTTCTGGTACCTGAGGATGGAGCCAGGGAGGCGCAGGGTCACAGTGGAATGACCGCAAGCCTGGGGGATGCGGTTCTTGTTACGTTAACCTGTGCCTCGATCCCTCCCAGGACTCAGGGACTGCCGCAGTGGATTTCACCAAGAAGGTATGGAAGCTCTATGGAGAAGTGCTTGGAGATGGGCAATCTTGTCACCTCTTTAGATCATTTCTGGAAAGAACTGGTCTCACAGTATGCCCCTAAAATCTTCTCTGAGGCTGAGCATTTCATTTCAGGTTTTCCTGAGCTTGTCCTGAGGCAGAGAGGACTCCCAGAGCAATGCTTCTGGCTGTTTATATTTCATCTCCAGCCTTGCAGATGAGTCACCTGGACCCATCTGTTCCTGAGGATTTGCTTGATGTGGCTCAGGGGCCCACGTGGCAGTTGTACAAACTTGGGGAGAGGTACTGCGAGTGCATAAGCCCCGTATACCAGCTCTTCTCCAAGTTGACCATGAGTCATCCATACCTTGGGATGTTGTTAAGATTCAGATGGCTAGGCCCCAACTCCAGGTAGTCAGTGGGGACCTGAGAATTTGCATTTCTAACCAAGTCTCGGGTGTCGTTGATGCTTTAGGTCTGGGGACCACACTTTGAAAACTGTGGTCATAGACATCGTCAGACCTTTGGCACAAACTGGTTGCATAATGGTTTGTGTTTTTATGTTGCAGGATCACACTGCCACCCGGGGACGACCATTTTTCCTTTTCAGGGTATAGCATTTCTTTTTCTCTGTTTTTAACCGCAGTTCCCTCCTGCCACACAATTATGGATTCTCCAGAATAAGCACAGCCCAGCACCCCATGGCAAACTGGTGAATAATTATGGGGACTCTCTCATCCTTTCCTTAGGGGTGAATTTCAAAGTCTCCTCCTAGAAACCTGATGTTTATGAAAGAAAGGGTGCCGAAGGACATAGGCTGAGAGAACCAGAGCTCTGGGAGCGTGGGTGGGAGGCAGGAATGCTGCTGATGGACACACACGGGGGCCAGCCAGAATTGGCATCTGTGTCCCTGAGCATGGAAGTCCAGGATACGTGCCCCCACATAGTGTAGGCGCCATCCCCTCCTCCTTCCCTGGGGTCTCCGAGCCTCCTGCAAAGGTCACAGAATCAGAAGCTCTTAGTTTGTGATCCGCCACTCACTAGCTATGCTTCATCCCCTCGATCCTCAAGGGTTTGCATCCAAAATATCAGACCATGAATCAGACAGACTCCTGCCCCTCAAACTATTCTGTGGGTCACTGGTGCAAAGATCAGACAAGCTTGGGAAACACTGCACCCAACACTCTCGAAGGTTCACAGTGCACACCAGCATGTCCTGCAGCAACTATATAAGAAAGCTGTGGGAAACATAGTTTCCACCGTGTTTGATCATGGAAGTTCTTCCACTCCATGCTGCCTGGGTCTCCATGATGTCTTCAGGGTGAGAAGTCCTTTGATAAATGGTTTGAAGACCGTCCTGCTGCATCAGTGGAGGCGGGGGATGGGAGAGGGGGGGGGGGGGGGGGGGGAGGGGGGGAAGGGGAGGGGTCGATGTCAGGGCTGGAGGAACAGCAAGGGTCCTGGGGCACTGCCACAGGGGATCTACATCCTCGCCCTGGGCGAGGGCTTCCCAGGTGAACTCCCAAGGAGGCTGCTGACATCCCAGCTAGAACGAGGCCTTAGGGCCCAGGTGAGGAAGGATCTGAAGCCCAGAAACAGGTTCCAGGCAGTTTTGTCTCAGTATCTGTAAGCTGCTCCTTTTTTTTTTTTTTTTCCCCAGCCAAGGAATGGAAGAAACACGGACGTTAACACCCAGTAGGACACTCCAAGGTCAGTGCCATTGCAACTGTTCTCCTCTAAGCAAACGTTGTGTCTGACTGAGGAGGAGTGAGAGCCAGCCAGAGGGGTGGCAGTTCAAGAGCATGGGGGCCACCTGGAACCTCGGAGGGTCCTCCACCCCCTCCCTTCCCTGCTCTGCACACCACAGAGACCCCCACCCGGCACGCAATGCAGCTTTTGCCCCCATGCTGGCTCTTTGCAAGCATCTCCGGCAGGGGCTGTGAGGGAATGAGAGCCCCCCTTGGCCCAGCTGATCCTCAGGACTTCTCACCTGACCCTTCTGATGAGGGAAAAGCCCCCCCCCCGCCCCGGGCAGGCTTGGCACGAGAGGGGGAGCACCTGAGAGCGGGAACATCTCGGAGTACTGCCAGGCCAGCCCACTCCCTCCTATTCAACAGTGTTCTGAGACCCAGAGTTCAAATCCAAGGAGATTCCTTGGTCTTCAGGCCTGTGGAGGTGAAGTCCATGTACAAGGGCAGCTCTGGGCCTCCTCCGTCTCTCATGATGGTTCACTCCCTGGGGCCTGATGCTGACCTGCTGACAGCAGCCGGGGCCTGGGCAGGCCAGGGTGCCAGAGAAAGCTGCCCAGATGCTGGGAGACAGAACGCCATGGGTGAAAGCCGAGGAAGAGGTTCCCTGAGGCCACAGCACTCACACAGCCTGAATGGCCCAATTAGCTACTGCAAAAATAAATAAGTACCGATTTGGGGCATTTATGACTTGTCAAACTGAGGCGTAATTTTAAAATACGTTGTGCAATAACATGCCCACAGGCCTTGTCTCGATTCTGGTAATGATTTGATCCAAGCAGTGCATTTGTTTTTCTTTTTCAGAATTCAGTGACAAAGAGAAACTGGATCAGATAAAGAAACCGAGCAATTATTTTGAACACATGTCAACTTTCTTTCTGTGAACAATAAAAGATAATTCTCTTGCTCTATATTCACTAGAATATTCAGTTGCATAAAAAATAAAGCAGCATGGACACAATATTTTCATTTCTTATTGGGAAGTCTTGAGGGAGGGATTAGATGTATTTTTAAAATAATAAGATTTTAAATAATAATGTGCTGGGTTTGGCATTGTTTTAGCCTGCCGCAGATATCTTGTTATTATTGATAATCGAGGGCCCGGGCTAGGGAGAGACTGGCTGGCTTCATGTTCCGATTCTTTCACCTTTTAGCTGGGGGTCGGTGGGCCGGTCACTTCCCATCCCTGTGCCTCATTCTCCTCCATGGTAAAATAGGATTGGTAATAATAGTACCTTCACATAGTTTTTGTGAGAACGGAGGAGACCATCTGTGAAAGGGCTTAGCATGGTTGTACATAGGGAATGCTCGATAAGCCTTGACTCTATGACACTTCAAAGATGATTTTCATGATGCAAATACTACCAGAGCGACTTGCCCTAATGACACTGCTTCTATCTCACTGACCAGGGACTTGAGGTTACAACACCAAGTTAACATATAACAATTCCAGGAAACCAGGATGCTTAGCCCTTTTACCTTCTCAGGCTCCTCCTCTGTAAACAGTATTTGACTTCCAGATCTCCCCAGATCATGCGAAGGAGTAGATGACACAGAAGATGGGCAGTAACACAAGGAGGGACACTAGTGATAGATGCAATGAACCTAAGCTGCATTGAAACATCCTTCTTTTAAGCTTCTCATCAAATTTAAAAGTCCTCCTTTTAAGATGTAACGTAGATGTCACACTTTGGGATTCGTTTTTATTTTTAGCATTTATACGCTCTTGTAATAAGTCTCAAGCCTATTCTCCCAAATAGGGAATTTAAACCCCCTCAGTAGATCTTACCCGCAGAGATGAGTGGAGCAAACCTGACTCTGCGTGACATTTTGCTGAGCACAGGTTGCAGGCGGAGGGATCAAGGCACTGGTCTGAGACCCTGCAGTAGGTAGGAAACAGGTAGGGCAGGTTTGGCCTCCTGGTGCATCCCAAATCTTCAGAGCACAGGCCGCGCTGACTCAACCTCATGCCTTTCTAATAGTGTGAGCAGAGCACAGCGGTGGTGTGTAATGCTCCAGTACAAGTCTGCAGGAACGGTCTCGACATTTTCAAGTAACCAAGGATGGCTGTTTCTGCCCCAAACCAAGCCCTAGAATCCTCTTCACTCAATCAGTGTTAATTGACTCCACCCCAGTGAAGGATCATACACTTGGCACAGGCCTGCCAAGGGCCAGCCAGGAAGACGATGTTTATGGGGGCGAGGGATGGGCAAAGAGGGCCACCGCTTCTAAGAAACACCATTTGAGCTAAAAACTCTTCCTTTGCACAAGCCAGTCTCTGATGATGGGAAGACAGACACAGACTTTGCAATCTCAGACATCACCTCACTCCTTTCCCCCACAGCAGTGACCAGTGATGCTCCACCAGCGCCAATAAATCCAGAGAGGAAGCAGACTGTGATTTAACCTTCAGCTTCCACACTGTGACAACTGGTTCTCCCTCTGTACGGTGCTGGGCTATTTTTAGCCTGGCATCCTGTGAAAAGGAGCCTTATGATATGACTCTATCCAGGTGTCCCATCAAGACCAAGTCCTAGGCCCAATGTTGGTCTCTAGAGGGAGGATGCCCGCCTTCTTAGCCCTGGTGGTCACTTCGTAGGGAGAGGCCATGCCTCAGCCCATTGTCCAGGCCCCTGAGAGCCTCAGGAAGATCAGGGGTCTGAGGCTAGCCAGAACAGAATTTGAAAGGAACTCTCAGAACCTTGGAATGGGCAGAGGCCTCTGATCATTCAGGCCCACCTTCTCATGGGCTGCTGAGGAAAGCACCCCAGAGAGGTCAAGTGACTTACTCACGGCCACAAGGCTACTGGCAAGCATGTCCAGAACAAAGCTCACATCTTTCAATTAACACCTAATTGCTGGGGCACCTGGGTGGCTCAGTCGGTTAAGCATCTGCCTTGGCTCAAATCATGATCCCAGGGTCCTGGGATCGAGCCCTGAATTGGGCTCCCTGCTCAGCGGATTGTCTTCTTCTCCCTCTCCCTCTGCCACTCCCCCTGCTTGTGGTCTCTCTCTCTCAAATAAATAAATAAAATATATTTAAAAAAATAAAGCCTAATTACTTTCTTCACTCTGACTTTACTATCCCATATTAGTTTTCTAGGATGGCCATAACAAATTTTCTCAAGCTTATTGACTTCAAGCAACAGAAATGTATTCTCTTATTGTTCTAGAGGCCAAAAGTCCAACATAAGGGGATCATTAAGGCCATGCCCCGTCTGAAGACCTTAGTTGAGAATCCTTTCTTGCCTTTTCTAGCCTCTGGTGGCTCCAGATGTTCCTATTGGTTGTGCAGCTTCACTCAAATCTCTGCCCCTATCATGTGGCCTGTCCCCTTTGTCTTCTCCCTTTCTCATCTCTTACACAGATACTTTCTAAACACTGATATTGACACCACACACTTTCTTACTCTTTTTTCTCCAATCACATTTATATTAGTTCTTTTCACTGCAATCTATAGACCTCCCATATTGTTTTGTCAGTCTGGTGTACATTATGGATATTTTCTTTTGATCTATCTTCCAGTTCACTTAATCTCTATTCAGCTGTGTCTCTTATGTTATTAAAGCCACCATCTGAGTTCTTACTTTGGTTATTATATTTTTCAGTTCCAGATTTTCTATTTGCTAATTTCATTATTTTCTAGCTTTCTGATGAGATTCTCAATCTTGTCATTTTTCTCCTTTAACATAGTAAGAACAGATATTTTTAGAATCTTTCTAATGAGTAAATTATCTAGGTTCCCTTTATGTCTGTTTCACTGTTTGATATTTATCTCGATTTTTGCTTGTTATCCATCTTTGCTCTTACAATATGGTTCTTTGGGGCCCTGATGAAATAGCTGAGAGTTTTTCATGGGCTCCTCCATTGCACACCCTAGACTCCGGTTTTTGTCCCCTGGTCCTTGGAGGATGACAAAGACTGCTGCCCAGTTTTTCAGTCTCACAGTTGCCTTCCTGAAGCCTTAAGATATTCATATAAGAAACTAGCCACCAAGGCTTATTTTATCTTTCTGGGTTTACATCTTAATCAACTCTTGGCCCTATAAGTCTTAAACTGCCACATTATCCTTCCTGATACCTATTTACCAGAGAAAGTCTTCAAAGTCCATGAGGACACAGATGTGAGTGTAGACATGGTTTCTTAGAGCAAAAGAGTCGGAAAGAACCCAGGTGTCCCATTAACAAGAGAAGAAAGAAATATTACAATGTTCATATAAATGATATTTATATAGCAACAAAAAATGAATGAACCACTTGCATAAAATTAGAAGAGTCTTAAAATCATGATGTTGAGTGAAACAAGCAAGATGCTTTTTATAGCAAGATAACATTTATATAAGTTGAATACCATGGTGAGAACAAATACCAAATTTCGGAGACCAGTGATTCCTGAGGGTAGGAAGACTGACACAAACTAGGAGGGCCACAGTGGGACTTCAACTGTATTGGTAATCTTTATGTTGGGTATTTAAAAGAGTAAAATTAATAATTTATAAATGTATTTATGTGGAAGCACATAATTTATAAAATTTAAATTTTAGTAAAAAGTAATAATTTATAAATGAATTTATGTGGAAGCACAGAGAAGGAAGAGATTGTTTGTGTCCAGGAAAATCAAGGAGAGAGGTGGTTCTTGAATTGGTTTTTGAAGCATCTGTAGGATTTCTATAGATGGCAATGGAAAAGAGCATCCCTGACAGAAAGAATAACAAACATAGGTGGGAAAGTGCATGTTCAAGGGACTGCAAGTAGCAGGATGGTATCTTCCTGCTCTCCCACCCCAGCCCACACACACATGAACAACCTTCCTGTTAGGCTAGATATCACTTGTTGAAACTGGGGTGAGGTGAGATTTCAAGCAACTGGGATATCAGGATATGGCCCATGTTGAGGAGCTATGACAAACCATAGTTGAGTTATATGGGTAGTGTGCATGGCCTGGCAGCCGG